GGGTTTTCGCTTGGCCTTTGAACATTCCTGGAAGCCCAACGGCCCAATTTACAATTTTCTAGGTCGTGATGGCCTAAGGGCAAAAACGAATTTCCTGATGTCCGTGCTCCGATCCTCATGACTACTGCCTGCCTTCCAAATATCAGCTTCTGGATCGTTGTCCAAGCTGATGCCAGCAATCTGAAGCGTTCGCAAGGCATTGAGTGGTGGAGGTCTTTGAATCGGTGGATCATCATCTACGCAAACCGGTCCGATTTGTTGACTACTTGATGATGACAAGCCGCGGCAGCGCTGAGCAGGATCACCACAGCAGGGATCACGTCTAACAAGAGCAAGAAGACCGAACCCGCCTGATCAATAAAAACAAACAGTGCGGTTGGGTCCCAAAGCCCCGAGGTAACAGGTCTCACAAAGTTTCCGCACTGGACCACAGGAACAGTTCATCGTACTTTGCAACCTTTGCTTCGATTTATGCAGCCTCTGACTTGCGATATCAAACATATGTGCTTTTTGTGTGCCATTCGGTGATTCCGCGGACACACCATGCTTGGGATCAACAAAGCTTAGGCCTAGGACAAAACCTCAAATTGATATAAGGGATCATTGTAACAATAACAGGCATCAACATGTTGCCATCTGCCTAGTAGATCTGGGTCTAAATGTACGAATTGTCTTGCGCCCAGATCCATCGAGCATAAACTCACTTGCGCTCATTTGCAGATCACCCAATACCTCCGGTGGCCTCTGTCTCCTCGTCATCCACCGCTACCTTCTTCTCCCCACCAACACGGGAGCCCCTGAAGGGATCTGACCACTGAAGCTCAAGTCGTCAAGGAGTGTGTGTGTGTGTGAGAGAGAGAGAGGGGGAGATTGTGCAATGTAAGGTGGATATTTTGTTCAAGGGAATGTCATTCCACTCATACTGCACTAGAAATGGCATGTGCATGAGGAAGGATCCCCACTTCCAAGTTTCCATGCTTCAGTTAAGCCACTGCCGCTTCAGGGACTTCGGCATGGCACTTGGAGTCCCAGGGGCTGCAGGCACCCCGCGACTGACGTCATGCAAGGTCATCAAGCCTCAAGTTCCAATGGAGAGAAGACCAAATGAGGAGTGGATTCTTGTGAGGTGCCTCTGATGAGAGAACCACCAATTGCGCTTGATGTGGCATCCACGGGAGTGCTAAAGTGGAGGGCATTTGGAGGGTGTTGGCCATTTCCCCCCCCAAAAAAAAAAGGAATTCATGTATCCTCAAATTTCGGAGTTGGACAAGTTTTTCCTCCATTTCAGATTTCCTACTGATTGATGCCCACAAGTCGATGCTTGCAATGCAGAGTCGAAGTTGGATGAAGTAAAAGCAGGCATTAAATATCCAGAGGCATCAGAGCATAGGGACTTCAACTGAAAACGTCCTCAAAAGCTCTCCCGTTGGCTTTCCTTGTTTGCTGCCAAAGATGACAAGGCTCTGTCACTGACAATGCCAGGGAGTTCCAGTGTCGTGCTGGCATCCGGGGTGGCGACGTAGGCTGTTATGGGCTGCAAGGGCGGAGGAGAATCCTGCGTGGGTGGGCAGTAGCTACAAGGGCAAGACGTGGTGGCCACAACCACCAGGCGCGCTATGGTTTTAAATTACACCGGCATACCCCAGATAGCGGGCGGGTGTATAGGTTTGTCACCTCTGGCATGACATGATGTCATCCCTGGGCATGACATGATGTCATTTTGGGCATGACATGACACCGGCAAAGCAAAACGCCGATCCAGAACCAGCACCAGCACGGCAGCAAGCAGCACCCGCAGAACGAAACGCCGGTCCAGAGCCAGCACCTGCACCTGCACCAGCATCAGCACGGCAACAGCACCCGCAAAACCAAAACGCCGATCCACAGCCAGCATCTGAACCTGCACCGGCATCAGCACGGCAGCAGCACCCGCAAAACCAAAACGCTGATCCAAAGCCACATATAGCCTGCAGCTATCTGGGGAAAAATACATCATGTCCCAGGATCCTAGAATATGTAAATGATGGTCGATGCCAAAACGCCAGTAGTGTGGATTTGAGGATGAGCTGATGGTTTAAACGAACGCTCTTCTGTCTCCTCCTGCCGTCGCAACCTCAACAGAGATAGGCTGCCATCCTCTTGCATCCTGGGCAATGCATGAGAAACTCCATCCAAGACTCTCCAGAACACTCAGATCCCGATCCTCCCAAATTGGGCACATCAAGCCTCATCTTTACGTCAAATTGCATTCCTCCACAACTGCCAGTCTGTCAGTGTCAAGACTCCATGTTCAACCAAACCGACGGTGCTGGAAACAAGATTCTTGCTTATTTGGCGGATCAGCAATGCTACAAGCTCTCATCCAAGTCACTCTTTTCGCAGCTCTCCATTTTCGATGACCACGCGCTCATATTCAGCACTGAGTGCCAGCAGGTGTCGATGAAACGGGCTGTCCCCGAAGGTCATTGCGCATGAAGAGACGCAGGCGACACAGTGACAATTCCAGGCGGCCAAAGTTCTGGCAAGCTAACAAGCTAGCACAATCTAGCTGAAGGAAGTGGAGGTCTACAAAGTCTAGCTATATAGCTTCCTCTTCATCCCAAAAGCACATGTTTTTAGTACTACATGTTTCATGTCTTGCTGCACTTGGAGACTGAATCCGACTTGTGTCCTTTGGATGCGTTCTGGAGCCGTTTGGCAAACGGGTTTATATCGAGCACGGAGAAGATCAGTATGATGGTCATCGAGTCATCAAACTGAAGAACTCAAAATGACCTTCACGCGTAAGCATACGATGGCAGTGCCCATGATATGGCGCAGTTGAATCCACAAATACTGCAAAAGTTGTCAAAGCACAACTACTCAGTACATCTCAGTACTGTATAATAACACAACACCACTACTTTTCATATACCAGGAGGCCATGAATCTTCACCAAATCTTCAGCACCACGCACCGATCCGCTCCAATTTTCAATCAAATGGCATCGGTCAAACCACCAACGCTTCAGTCGCTGGCTGCTGGGGAACTTCAAGCCAAGGTCCCCAGTAACCTACAAAGGACAATGGCAGGAGTGGGTATGAGTTCAGTTCAGGTCCCTTTGTAGAAAAGATACGGTCTAAAGGTTAACCCCAAACGCACACAGAAACATTCACACTCGTCTGTGTGGCAGAACAAATCTTTCTGGTTAGAGCACCGATGAGCAACTGATCTACAGCCGCTCAGCTTGAACAGTCAGAATGTAGTGACGACCAACCATGTCTTGCCAACACCTTCCAATCGTTTTGATGAAACAACTCATGCTGGAAGCGAGCTCAACGACCAAGTGGCCGTGGTACTCCTGCTTTGCCTTCTTGCATGCGCCATGATCCTCTCGCTGGGAGGGATACTGTTCTGCAATCAGGTCTGCGACCAGAAATCCTATCTATATATTACATATATACCTGGTACAAAGCCAGCGCTTCCGACCCCTTCTTCCCACTCATGAAGAGCAAGGTTTAAATGCTACCATGAATCGCAACAAGCACACCTTTCCGAAAGCATCCAGGGGTGAAATTAAGAGGAGGTTGAGCGTCAACCGACCCCTGGAGTCCTCAGGCCCTCGGTCAGGCGAGTAGACGCTGCGCTGCAGCTCGTCTACACGCTTCAGGAGAAATTTGAAAATATCCGGCTGAGACGCAGCAAGCCTCCGCGTCACGCGACGCTTGGAGGATGATTTGTGTTTACCATAATTAGAGTTGATGGTGGTCGAGCGGGATTTCTTTTGGAGTTCAGAGATTGCTTAATTTACAAAGATTTTTTTCCACCTGCAACCCCCCAAAATTTACACCAGCATTGACCCAGATAGCCAGGCAGAATCCCACGACCTGTTGACATGCGACAAAAATGAAGCAATCAACAATACTTAAACTGACCTTTTGGACTGTTATGTTGTTTTTGAATAAATTTTGATTTGTTATACTGCTATGATATTAGTTGAGAAACTTCACTCAATCAACTTCTTTACATTTTTTCACCCGGCACCAGCACCAGCAACCTGTCTCCACCACGCGCACAGCCAGCTCACAGCACCAGCACCGGCACCGGCACCCGGCACCCAGCACCAGCACCGGCACCTGGCACCAGCACCCGGCACGCGCACAGCCAGCTCACAGCACCGGCACCGCACCCGGCACCAGCACCAGCGCCAGCAACCTGTCTCCACCACGTGCACAGCCAGCTCACAGCACCAACACCAGCGCCGCGACCCGGCACCCAGCACCAGCACCAGCAACCTGTCTCTACCGCACGCACAGCCAGCTCACAGCACCAGCACCAGCACCGGCACCCGGCACCCAGCACCAGCACTCCACCACGTGCACAGCCAGCTCACAGCACCAGCGCAGGCTCACAGCACTAGGAGTAGCACCGGCGCCCGGCACCAGCACCAGCAACTTGTCTCCACCACGCGCACAGCCAGCTCACAGCACCAGCGTGCACAGCCAGCTCACAGCACCAGCACCGGCACCCGGCACCAGCACCAGCAACCTGTCTGGACAGCGCGCACGGGCAACTCATTGTTATTTGAAGTAAGAACCCCATAGCTTCGCTATCTGG